ACTTTCTTAACTATCTGGCGTAAGGCGAAGAATTGGTGAAGGATTTCTCGGCTTGCCCTTAAGCCACACGATTTATCCTGAAAGTTAGAGTCATTTTTTCGCAGCATCTATTTTGCAACACCTTTGTCTGCAGTTTTTCTAGGATGCTCATTAAGACAATGCTCGTTAATTAGAGCACTTTCCATGGCCGCCATTCTTGAACAGGGGTAATAAGCATCCGTTCTCCAGTGTACCAACGCCTTTCCTGCAGGAATAAAGATTAAGGAATTCCCCTTAGTACTCTTTCCATCATCAAGGTATATTTTAATCCTTGGTGAGAGGGCGCACGGACGTGTCCTTCAGGATTCTTATACTGCATTTTTTTCCTTCTCAGAGACAGCTGAAGATCGGCCATAATACTTTGATTGCCGTTTGAAACTTGACTCCATAACTCACTGAACTTTACTCTGAAATCAGCTTTCAATTTGGTTGCTAGGTTCGCTGCCGCCTTGCGCACTTCTTCCTACTTCATTGCAGTTGGAGGACTTTTGCTTTCAAATCACTTCCTGAAAACAGCTTTCTTCTCGCTGACAGTTGGCTGAATCTGTCATGTCCAACAGGAAGGTCTTTTCTGAAATCCAGGCGATAGGCCAACCAATTGTAAACTGCGACATTCCGCCACAGCCTCAAGTAAGCCACTGCTAAAGAGCTTCTACCGAGGTTCAGCATCAGCGGTCATCACTGATGTTGTTTGCAAGTTGTAGCCTAGTATCCAATAAACGTTATATTTTCCACTGGATCATCACTGCATCCGCCGCTAGGTTTTGAATGGTACTCCACAGTTTACTGAGGAGCGTATCAACAACATGGAAATGGTCGGTTGACAGTTTTATGCCTCTCTTGATGTAAACATCCATTATCTGACTCAGCGTTGTAAGTCAGACGTCATGATTATCAAATGGATCACCGAGCTCTGTGTACAATCTCCCCATCGGTATACTGATGCACGTTTCAATGCTCGAAGAATGTGTTGATAACAAACGGTGTGAAGTTTTCACAAAACCACAGCATCATCACGCCGTCATTGTTGTTGACGCTAGGGCCGCTCTTTCCAATCAAGCCATTCCACTTTCACTGACTCCACCGACATACGTATTTAAATCGTCCATTACAATGACTGATTCTGCAGTCGGCATTTCGAATAAAGTACCTTCTACATCCTCCCTGAAAAATGTATATTCTCCCTCCAAATTGGGCGCGTTGACCTTTAATAAGGTCAGCGCATTAGCCTGTTGTGGCTTCTGTCGGATGATTGCCGCTCTTCGGTTAATAAAGTTCCATTCAGTGATTCTATCAACCAGGTTTGATTCCACCAGAACACCAACTCCAGCTTGAGCGCGCGTCGTGATATCGACACTTGAGTAGAATAGCTTCCACCCGACGAGGTTCAGGATTCCAGAACCTTGGCGCTTCGTATTCGAGAGCCCTTGGACGAGTTGGCGCCTTTTGGCCTCCCCAGCATATTGCTGCTCTTTTCCATCTGATTGAGGATATATCCCAATTTCCGACCGTTTGCTCCAACTGCCGGTACGATTCTGGTGCATGCGTGCTAAGAAAGCATATGCTTTGTCTGCCTCCTCCGTTCGCAACGAGTAGCATCTGAGCTGCTGACGAATCTTCGTCGTTTTTTGTCGACCTTCGGCAGCTGTCACCGTGATGCTACGCCCCCAGTTGCGAGAAGGCGAGAAGCAGGTTCTGAACACCGTCTTTTCGCAGCCTGCTTCACTTTCCCAACAGCCTGCACGGCGCTATGTACCCCGTGCAACGACTGACCCGGTATAGCGATCGATGATGGCGATACCATGAGGGGCAGGTGGCTATGTTTTAGGGAAGACCTCGCCACAGCCCCTAGCCCTCTGATTTTCTTATCCGGGCTTGAGATCAACAGCGGCAGAGTTAGTGGTCAAGACACGAGAAAAATTTAATCGAGGTTTTGAGAACTATTCGCTTATCAGCGTTTGGCTTGGTACACGGTTCTATGACTTGGAAGATCCTGCTGCGTTACGATATTCCATCCAACTTAGTGATGGTGCTTGAAAACATCCTCAAAGACGCTGTATGCGCCGTGAAAACGAAAGTGGAACTATGTGACTGATCTGGGATCAGAAATGGCCTGAGAGATGAGGACGTCCTTTCGCCAATGCTTATTGACTTTGTCATAGATTGGGCGATGAGAGAGAGTGTTGACAATCCGAATGGATTGGCGTTAAGCCAAAGACAGAACTCAAGGCACCTTGCCATACACCTCGCGGATCTCAATTGCGCAAAGCTGCTTAGCGATTCCAGAAGTGGATTACGGTTACTGACAGAAGTGGTTTAAGCAGTCGATGAAGGAACATACCTTATACTCAGTCATAAGGAAATGAAACTGATTTGGAATTCAGAAAGAACAGAACAGGCCGATTATTCTTTCAATGAAGAATGACTGGAAGAAGTTTACCAGGACAAATTTCTTGGCTCCGCTATTACGAACGACGGCCGTTGCAACATGGAGATGATTAGAAAAATCTTTTAGGAACGGTTGCATTTGGATGCCTCATGAAGACTTGGTGTCATCAGAGCATCCAGGTAGCAACGAATATGAAGATCTTTACGTCGTGTGTCATTTTTATATACGACTTGACAGCGCTGGTACTGACTAAATCACATAAACATCGTCTAGGAACGTTTCAAGCAACGTTGTCTACACGCAATCCTCAAGATTCGTTGGTTCCAACGAGTAGCGAAGCAAGAGGTTCCAGCCAGAACAGAACGACAAGAACCAACCTCTTCGTTTCATAAACGACAACTTTGTTTTGACAGTACCATGTGCAGTGACAAAACTCCAGTCACTCCAGAAAGTTTACCCTGGGGTTTAGATCATGCACACCTTCGTTCCAGAGGCTAACATCGAATTAAGAATGGCGTATTGTAAAAAGAGGTGGAATCGACTAGGGGCATCTCTTTCACGGATGCAGTCGAACATTGCGACTCTACCTATAGCCTCGCAGACATTAGATTGAGCGTTGCGGCTATGCAGAGGAGATATTATACTGACGATAGAACATACATATTTCAAAAACCGTTGTTGCTTCAATGATTTTCGCGAGTCTTGTTGGCGGTATGATTTTCTGGTATTGGGAAACACACCATAACAATTGTTTTGATTTCAACCGCAACACTTTAACTACCTTGTAGCCTTATAATATCTGGATATTCGGCTACAATTTTCTGACTTCTCGTAGGTTTGATTCAAGTCTTCGCAGCATTTGGTCATAAGCCTACCATTCCCGTAATTGTCTGGGTCATTATATTTTCATCTCAAGGTTGAATGCGTATGGTAGCTTTTTATCCTAGTATCCAACGTTGTGACGAGAGCGTGGCTTGATTGTTTTTTGGGAAAATTGTCCTTTAAAGAGTTACATGATCGATTAGTCGTCATCACTAATGTTTTATAAGCGAACTGTTCCGACACTCATTGCAGTCTTTGCATATGCTGCAGAGACTAAGAAAGAATGACTGTTAATTGTTCAACTTATGCATCGTCCTGTGGACGATGCTCCCTCAACACAAGGTAGAAAATGCTATTTTGCAGAAAATAAAATACCCGCTGACCCAGAAGCCACAAATACAAATGCTTGGCACGCTACTGCTTTTGACACAAACAACTAGTTTCAAAGAGCATGGATCGGAGTCGACAAGAATGGCGGCGAAGGCGAGTCGTACGTACTCATCGCTGAGAGAGCACGATTCTGCCTACCAGAAAAGAAGTTTTTTGTTTGAATACTGAATCAATTGAAGTTATAACTATACATTTGTTACAAAAGAACAATGATAATTCTTAATAAGATGACCTGCAGAAACCTCTGTAAGGTTATCTACATTTTAAAATTTTAAAGCAAAATGCACCTACTATATTCTTTGCTGACTTTGCAGAGGGTTTGGAAAATGTTCCTTGTCAACAAGCTTCTTTTGATGTTCTTCTAAATAGGCGAAGAAGAGAGAATTGCATGTTGCATTAGAATGCCGGGCGTATTTGACGAAACTATCGCTAAGCACGAAGGATGCTCTACAATAATTCATTCTGCAACAAATTTGCAAAGTACTCCTTCCATTTTTTTCAATCTGAACGTATGAGTGATTACTGTGACAAACCAAAAATTTTGAGAACAGGGCGGTTTTCAGGAACCAATGTCATAAGTTGGCTTGCATAAAGAATAGAATTCAGTTTAAAATCTCTTAAATTACTTTAATCACATTTCTAGAATTATAGCAAAGAAACGAATATAGTGTGAAATGCGGTTAAATGGCTAATGCCGGCAGTGGTCAGACACCAACTGATGTAACAAGCCTATGACTGATACCTTCCGGGATTTAAGACGTACTTGCGCTCTTCCAGACTGGATGTTGCAAGCTGCTATGGAACCTATAATTTGGTTGTTTTGCTTTCAAAGACACAAAGAAAGAGTATGCAGCTATTACAATCAGGGATCATATAACCTAGATAGATCATTCCATTACTTGCATGCAAATCATATTTAGATTTGGTTGAACTATTTTCAAATCTCAGTAGAATTACCTTTTACCATAAACAGTTTTAAGCAATTTTAACGTACTCAGATGAATGATCCCTGCTAATTTCAGCATTTAATTTCTTTGAAACTATTTAGCAGCCAACAGCAAACATAAATTGAAAGTGAAAGTTAAGTTAGTTGGCATGCGCATTTTAAATAATTTCAAAATTTTTAAGTTTTAACTCTGCGTGAAATGATTAAATCTCGAATCTCCTACTCTAACACATTTTCAAGTCAGGGCTGCATTGTACATTTATACTACATGTGTTATAAACGATAGCTACCCAAAGGTATCAAAGTAATGAATATAACAAAATTTAATTTGAGGAATGGGCATGAAGGGCTTCATGTAGTAGTCGTATTGAAATTTCTCTATTTTGTTGCTTCTCAATTTTCCAAAAGCTTCTCCAAATATTTTAGCAGAAAAATGGTCTTGAAGAAATAGCGATGGTATTGTTAGTATAAAAACTGAAGTAGATAGTCTAAAGATAATCTTTAACCTCTGCATATTTGGACCAAACTAATAATATAATATAAATAAATGGAAACCTTTGAACATCCAATCTGTCTTGCAGAGCAACGTCTGGAGCCTGAAACTGAGAACACTTTGTCACTGGTATTATTAACACTGCTAAAATTGATGGCCGCAAGCGAATCCGTAAGGAAATTATATCAAAATCACAAGTTTCAATTTTAAAATTCATTGCGTACTAATTTTAAATAGCAACTTTTATTTAAACTCATTTCGGTAATTCCAAATACTTGAAAGTTGTTTGTTAGATTGAGTAATTCCGGCATATTCTTAAACGATTCTTGAACACTGAAGCTTTCTACGGCGAATCAGTAGATAACTCTAAAGCGTTATCAAATAGTACATAGCTCACCCAAAACCGGATTTCACTGCGTGTTGCACCTTACTTGCTCTTAGTTTCCTAGAAAGTCCATCTAAGCAGGCTACAGCTCCATGGTATTTAAGCACTTGCACCTGCACTAGATGCCTCTCGCATCATTTTATTCACTGCAGCCACCTTGCGATCAATATGAATGAGGTTTCAAGAGCTTGTACTCCCCATATGCCATTGCGCGAAAATAAATTTTTTCACGAGCGGAATTGTGTCAAATACTGCATAACTCCTGCAAGACCGGGTTATATGTTCACTCTAGTCTGAAATAACTTCTTGAGTATTAATGCCGCGTAGGATAGGTGAAGTAGTGTACTTTTCGTCATGCTTCCGTTAAGGATAACTGCTACTCACAGTCGTTCATTCCGGCATCATGCTCAAGGCATCCTGCTCTTAGACTGATTTTTGAGGTATGATGAGATCTGCCAATGCCTGGTAACTCTGACCTCATTATCAAAGCACACTCTGGTTGCCTTCATGCCTACCGTTGCGACTTGACACAATGCCATTTCCGCACTTCACCTCAACAGTGGAACCGGTGTTAGTAATTGCTAGCTCTCTATGACAGACACATAAAATAGAATCTGTGGATAGCAAAACTGCAGGGCTAATAGTCTAGGTGGTTATGCAAAAGGAGTTTGAAATTGCACGATGATATCTCAGAACAAACCACTCGTCCGCAACTTACACTAGTTTTCTAGAGAGTAGTACGGATAGCGACGATAGACGTGAATAAAAACAAAAACGGCTATCGACTTAGCGATGCACAAACTCTTATTGTTCGACCATTTCCTGAAATTAGAACTGTTTCTGAAATGCATTAAACGTGTTCTTTTGGTCCAGCCAATGAATAGACGCAGCTCAACCATCCGCCGGACAAAACTTTTGGTAACAAGGCTTCTTCCTCAACTCCACCTCAAGGAAACCAAAACGACCAGAATTCTCTTCAAGCTATGCTTTCAAACAGGTATGTTTTAGAGGAATACTTCCCGATTATCCGCCAATGTTTGTTAAACGTATATTATGCTTGGCTTTCTTGATCACAAATAAATTACACAGCAAGCCTGACTCTGTAATACTAATCGATTA